TTCTGTTTATATGTAATCCATTTTTTTATCACAGCAATTATGGTAGAAAAAGGAGATATATATTTTCTCATTGCATGCCCTATTAAACTGTTTATGAATTGCCTTGAATGTTGTATAAACTTGATCCTTACCCAAATATTGGCCTGATTCTATTGACCCTCTCGCTTATACACAATGTTCTTTTTTGTTCCCATGCTTCCATTGAACCTGGAAGGAACTAGTAAAATCTACCATAAGTTTTCCCATTATATCTTTTCCTTTCCTGTGTGGAATGGAATTTATTTTCTTCGCATATTCCTAAAGAGCATTTTGATTTTTAGCCTCTCCACTTTACACCAGGTTTTGGCGGCTGAGGATGATCAGGATGCTCTCACTACTGATCCAGATGAGCTCATTGCTTCTGAAGACAGTGAAGGTATAAGTGGAGATGAAGAAGATATATTTAGAAACCTTCTTTCCCGAGCTGGATTTCACCTTACCTATGGAGATAATCCATCGGAGCCACAGGTCACTTTACGAGAGAAGCTTCTGATGGATGCTGGGGCAATTGCTGGTTTTCTGACTGGACTGCGTGTTTACCTTGATGACCCAGCCAAAGTAAAACGTTTGCTACTTCCAACAAAGCTTTCTGGTAGTGGTAATGGGAAGAATGTTTCAAAGACAGATGAATCTTCACCTAGTTTGATGAATTTGCTAATGGGGGTTAAAGTTTTGCAGCAAGCAATTATTGATCTGCTTTTGGATATAATGATTGAATGTTGCCAACCCTCAGAAGGAATTGCTGATTCGTCAGATGCAAATTTAAAACCTTTTAATTGTGGTGAAGCTGCTAGCCGATGTCATTGTGAATTGGAGAATAGAGCTGTAGAATCTGCTCAATTTCTTATGTATGAAAGAGTTGATTCTTGTGTGAATGATGGTAGCACTGCCTCTGCTGTACAAAGTTCTGACATGAATGGGATTGACATCTCTGGAAAAGCTGTTCGTGGTCATCCTACTTCTCCTCCGGAAGCCTCTGGTGGGAGTTCTTTGGAGAATTCCTCACTTTACTCAAAGGTAAAATTTGGAAATAACATTGACTAGATTATTAATCATTTATTGACTACTTGGATAATTTTAATTTCCAGACCAAGTGCTCGGAACAATCTGAGGAGCTTTTAGGGTTGATTGTCAATTCATTGAGAGCCCTAGATGGAGCTGTTCCACAAGGCTGCCCTGAGCCCAGGCGGAGGCCCCAGTCGGCACAAAAGATTGCTCTTGTATTGGATAAAGCTCCTAAGCATTTGCAACCTGACCTAGTAGCATTGGTGCCTAAATTGGTAGAGCATTCTGAGCACCCATTGGCTGCTTATGCTCTTCTTGATCGTCTTCAAAAGCCAGATGCTGAGCCTTCTTTGCGGTTGCCTGTAAGATTGTCTTTGTAGCCTACTTAATTTCCTTACTTATGTCTTTGTAGCCTTCTTTACTTATGTAGTATTGTTTCCACTCATGTTTTTTTCTCTACAAATTTCATATGTTTATAATGGTTCTTCTCTTTCAGGTATTTGGAGTCCTCAGTCAACTAGAGTGTGATGGTGAAGTGTGGGAATGCATCTTATTTCAATCTTTTGAGCTCTTGGCTGATTCAAATGATGAACCTCTGGTTACAACCATAGATTTCATCTTTAAAGCTGCGTCCCAATGCCAACATCTTCTAGAAGCAGTATGGCTTGCTTTCTTTTATCATCATTTCATTCAGCATGTCAACATAGTTTTGGGAAGCATATATAACTACTTCTGTTTTCTTATGTAGGTTAGATCTGTTCGCGTTAGGCTAAAGAATTTGGGCCTAGATGTGTCTCCTTGTGTTCTTGACTTTTTAAGTAAAGCTGTAAATAGCCGGGGTGATGTTGCGGAGGCCATACTAAGAGATATTGAATGTGATGCTGATTTCATTGAAAATTGCTCAGTGTTGCCCTCTGGATTCTTCTTGTTTGGTGAAAATGGATATCTTCCTGAAAGATTGAGTGCCCTTGATGAGCAGGCCTTTTGTTATGGTCAGCATTTTTCTGACATTTATGTCCTGATAGAAATGCTATCCATACCTTGCCTTGCTGTTGAAGCTTCTCAAACATTTGAGAGAGCTGTGGCTCGAGGTGCCTTTGCGGCTCAGTTGGTAGCCATGGTTTTGGAAAGGCGTCTAGCCCATGGACTCAATTGTAATGCCAGATATGTTGCAGAAAGCTTACAGAATGGGGATGCTGTAGTAGAGGGAGAGGCCAGTGAAGAACTTGGTGTTCAACAGGATGATTTCACTTTACTTCTAGGTCTTGCTGAGACATTGGCTCTCTCAAGCAACCTTCGTATCAGGGGCTTTGTGAAGATGCTTTATACAATATTATTTAAGTGGTATATCGATGAGTCCTACCGAGTGAGGATCCTGAAAAGACTTGTTGATCGTGCCACTGGCACTACAGAAAATAGTCGTGAAGTAGACTTGGATTTTGATATTTTGGTTACTTTGGTTTCCGAGGAGCAAGAAATTATTAGGCCTGTTCTCAGCATGATGCAAGAAGTTGCTAAGCTTGCAAATGTTGATCGGGCAGCACTTAGGCACCAGTTATGTGCTAGTGAAGATGCGGTTATCCACATGCGTGAAGAGGCAAAGGTTGGAATGTCTAATATGGCCAAGGAAAAAGCTGCATTATCCCAGAAATTAAGTGAATCTGAAACCACAAATAACAGACTTAAGGTATGGGTCTTAAACTAATGGTAAGGTTTATTTTTTATCTTCTATTTATTTTTGAAAGATTAATGGTAAGATTTATGATTCAGGAAGTTCTTAATACTAATCTATTTTATAAATTAACAGTCCAAAATGAAGGCTGACATGGATTGCTTTGCTCGGGAAAAGAAGGAACTTTCTGAACAAATACACGAGGTTGAGAATCAACTTGAGTGGCTCCGCTCAGAGAGGGATGATGAAATCGCAAAACTCACTGCTGAGAAGAAAGCACTTCAAGATCGTCTTCATGATGCAGAGGCACAGCTCTCCCACTTGAAGTCTCGCAAACGTGATGAGTTGAAGGTACTTGTGATGATAAATGTGCTCCCTCTTTGCTATTGTGCTGGTTTGTGTTGATTGCTATCTTAATCTCTATCTGACAAGTTTTGCTATGTGACAGAGGGTAGTCAAGGAGAAGAATGCTCTTGCTGAAAGATTGAAGAGTGCTGAAGCCGCACGGAAAAGATTTGATGAGGAATTAAAACGGTATGCCACTGAGAATGTCACTCGAGAAGAAATTCGCCAGTCGCTTGAGGATGAGATTCGCAGATTGACACAAACAGTAGGGCAAACCGAAGGTGAAAAGCGGGAAAAGGAAGAGCAGGTTGCTAGGTGTGAAGCATATATTGATGACATGGAATCGAAGTTGCAGGCGTGCCAGGTTTTATCCTCACCAGTCACCATACATATGCCTTTATCTATTTCATAATCATGTTCTGGGAGTTATCTGTTTAACCGGGACCTAGTGAGAAGGGGATTGGGTATTATTGAACTTGTCCTATGATGTCTAGTTTGAGTTTGAATAATCATTTGGCCCTCTCATGGAAAGTTATGAGCTTAGAAAACTAATTCGATTTTCTTTTTTTTTTGCGTTTTTCGTTTGTGTCGATTCTTCTGCAGCAATACATTCACACCCTTGAAGCCTCACTTCAAGAAGAAATGTCACGACATGCCCCTCTCTATGGTGCTGGTTTGGAAGCTCTGTCCATGAAAGAGTTGGAAACATTGTCGAGGATTCACGAGGAAGGGCTGAGGCAAATCCACACCCTCCAGCTGCGTAAAGGCAGCCCTGCTGGTAGTCCACTTATGAGTCCGCATACTCATGGGTTATACCCTACAACACCACCGCCGCCACCACCAATGGCTGTAAGTCTGCCCCCTTCTCTCATCCCCAATGGTGTAGGGATACACAGCAATGGGCACGTGAACGGCACCGTTGGGCCTTGGTTTAACCATGCTTGACTCGTGGGGCCTCAAGATCTTTTAGTTACACCACCATAGAGCTGGTTAACATCTCAATTAGACAGAGATGTCCCCCCTCCCCCTTTCAGTTTCCTGTGTTTTTTGCGGTATTTGTTGCTGGTAGATCTGTTGGATCAGAGGTGTGTGGAGAAAGAAACAATAAGAGAGAGAAAGATCCCTTTCCCATGTCAGATCGATAGAACTAACAGTCGGAAATGCTGTTACTTATGTCTTTCCTTCGGATTTTTATAAAAGAAAAAAGGGTAATGTCAGGCATTCGAAAAGGGTTTTGGTTAACCATCCAAGCAAATGCATGTTTGTTAGTAAGTCGATGGAAATTTGATGTAGGGACGATAGGAATGAGCAATTGCCATTGTTGGTGAGCACGTGCCATTAGCATGCGTTTCAGTACGTCTGCCTGGCTCCCCAGCCCCAACCCAACGACCAGGCAAAGAATCAGATGCCAAGGTGATGGCACAAAAGGCAGATTTTATTTATTTATTTATTTTTGCCATCTGCCGAAAAGACTCCGAATTAATTGAACCGGAATGGCAGATGTGTTAGATCGAGTATCTATGACATTAAGCGTTTAGATTCGAGTTCCATTTTATGTAAACACTGTAAATAGATGGGAGAAAAAGCAAAGAAAAGAAGAGAAGAGAACAAATTACTTTCTTCTTTACAGATAAGCATAAAGATTAACAAATTAATATTCAAGTAATTGTTTAATCATTACTCAACCTACCATACACCTTCCAAAACTGTCCCCACATAACTAACAAACATCCTTAATTTCTCATCTTCCTTTTTTCTTCCTCGCCAAGCAAAAAGCTCATATCTTTCCTGCAATGCCTTGAAACTTGTAGCGAAAATCCCAGAACAACAGTCTATTTAACCTACATTCATTGTATTATCATCTGGGGTTCTATTAAAAAAATTAAAAGAATATGGCTTTACTTTATGTTATTTTCATTGGACTCACCACTGGAATAGGATTGATTGTTGCTTTTGCTCGATATGAGAAAGTCCGATTCTCTCGTCGTGCTCATATGGTATTTCGTGACGTACATCATATGAATGTAGTTTTTCTTATAGTTTGGCTTTGAAGAAAATAACTTCATTTTTATCTGTTTTTGGATTATATACATGTTGGGCTGAACTGAAACGTTATGCAGGCAAAGACGGTTGCTTCATTTGCAAGGATGACAGTGCAAGATACAAGAAAAATCCTTCCACAAGAGTTTTATCCACCTTGGGTAGTCTTTTCTCAACGCCAGAAGTTGAGTTATGTTAAAAATAGGGCTAATGTAACGTGAAGTAAAAAGGAATTGAGTGATGAAATAAATTAAATGACAAAGGTAAGAAAAAGTGAAAAACTTCACTGTAGTATATTCAAGTAACAATAGATTACAAGTTTAATATGTATATATAGTAGGTGAGAACAAGTATTTAATTTAAACTAAACTACTTAGTAGTTATCCTTATCTAACTTTCTAAGAGTTAATTTAAACTAAACTACTTAGTAGTTATCTTTATCTAATTTTCTAAGAGTTAGTGTTATATTAAAATACTAATTAATTATCCTTATCTATCGCATAACCTACAAGTTATAACAATCCAATCCATCGTGTGTTAGTACACTACCAGATTGTCAACTAATGTTAGTTTCTTCATGAATACAGTTAGTGTGGCTCAATGTGCAGCCCAAAAAGATTTGGCCATATGTTGACGAGGTAAATTTTTTCTTTTTTTCTGTTAAAAAAAATTCCAGATGCAATTTGTTTTATATCTTTCACTTGGTTCATCTATTCGAAGGCATAGGCAGCAATAGAGAAAATTAGAGCTAGTGTTGAGTCAACTCTCGAACAATACACACCGGCTGTCATATCATCTACGAAGTTTGGAAAGTTGACTCTTGGTACCATTGCTCCACAATTTACAGGTTAGTTTTTTCTTTCTTTAAATTGCAACACCGGTTTTTGTATGTCGAGCATATCGAGAATGGTTTTGGTTTAATTTGTTTCCTTTATAGTTCGATGATGTTGCACGAATTGTTCATACTCTTTAGGTGTTTCTATTGTTGAGAGGTGAAAGTGGTGATGGGGGAATCACCATGGAATTGGAGATTAAGTGGGATGGTAACACAAATATTGTGCTTAATATCAACACTAGACTTGGTGTTTCCCTGCCTGTGCAGGTAAACTTGCTGCTCATGCTAAAGAGCCTTTCTGGTTTATCATGTTCGATTTATTTGATAAAATGCTCATTTTATCAAATAAGTGCTGGAGAAAAGATGATAGCAAATAAGTGCTCATTCCAAATTGGATTCAATGTATTATTCTGTAGAAGAACTATAACAGTTAAATATCAATCCTAGAAAAGATGATAGCAGTTGCTGGAGAAAGTGAAGTATCTTACAATAGTTTTACTGGTTTTCATTTTATGCCGAAGTGGATGCACAAATAACTCGGCGAAAGGATCGGATTTCCCAATCATGTCCTTATTTGCTAGGTCCTTGGCTTGCACAAGCTTCACATCTAATACTCCAACAGGTTTCAACTCCAGATCACTGGTAGAGGGTATAATCATAAACAAACAGTTTCATCAATGGGAATTGGGAAGAACACACTTATTTTCCCTTAAATTATTTGGATAAAACATATGCCATGAACATTTCAGACATCAAAAAGAAACAGGAAGATATGAAATTCAACTACAGTGACTTAGCATACCTGTAATCTCCAGGTAAAACGGGTATAATTTTCCTAACAGGCCACATTATAGAATCTTCAAACTCACGTACGGACTGTGTGTAACCTATCAATAAAAAATGGAACAATTAATTTGAATTTCTTTTATAAAGATATGGTAAACTGAAAAGGGTGAAATACGTACCCATTTGAAGCACCACTAGATGCTCATCTTGACTCTTAAACTTCTGTAAATAGTTTGCTGCAATATGTCGTAAACAGTACTGGCGATAAATATTGGGGGTTGACAAGACGGCCCCATACGCTGGAGTGCGTATTTGATACCAACGCCTTTGTCAGAAATAAGACAAATCCATCATCTTTATCTTGCATCACATGTGATAGAACATATGTTTGTAATTTCATAAGGAAGAATTCCCAAGAGTCGATATCTTCCTTTTCGACAATTGCGAAGGTGATGAGAATAGTTTTTCTGTTACCTTCTTGTACAACCGCCAATAACATTATTTGAGTGTATCGACAATATAACCAAGTGTCGTCAATTTGTACAACCGGCTTGCAGTGTCATAATGCATTAATGCATTGTGAAAAAGTCCAAAATAGCCGCTAGAATTGGCAAACACCTTGTACAACACGATCATTTTCGTACGCTGGGACTGTTTCCAATTTCACAATTGTTCCAATTTCACAATCATTTTTTACAAACGCCGCTAAAGATTATGATATTTAGCGGCGTTTACTCCAAACGCCGCTATTTATCTTTTCTTTTGTGTTCTTTTGTCTAAAAATGCCACTAAATGTTATGTCATATAGTGGCATTTTCTGTATAAACGCCACAAAAGATCTAGAACTTTAGTGGCATTTTCCAAAAACGCCGGTATTGACTATTGTTGAAAATATTTTGATGTTTCGATATAACAAATAAATTAATTTTGAATTTTAAGATTTTATTCAATTTTAAATCATATATTCGATTAAATTATTTGAATATAAAAATATTACTCCAAGTTTTTAAATGTAAAATTTAATCCTTACTTAAGTTTAAAATTGTGTTTTAGTCTTAAAATATTTTTGAAACAATTTTACAAAGTATTTCGAACCATAATCGGACCAAAAATAATTTTTACAAAGGGAAGTACCGATACACTCTTGGATGTATCGATACAGCCCCAACTTCGAATGTAATTTGTGTACCGATACACAACCGATGTATCGATACACTCCTGGCTCCGAGAAACATCGAATGTAATTAGTGTCCGATACACCATGGATGTACTGATACATAGGCCTGTAAATGAACTGAACGTTCAGCGAACCGTTCATGAACCGTGCGGCGGGAAGTTCGTTTATGTGCGTTTATTTATTAAATGAACGAACATGAACAAGATTTTGTGTTCGTTTAATTAAATGAACGAACCAGAACATAGGTCTCGTTCGTTCATTTATGTTCTTGAACGTTCGGTTATGTTCATTCTGTTATGTTCGTTTATGTTCGTTCGGTTATGTTCGTTTATGTATGTTTAACCCAATCTTCTTAAATCAATTTTGGTGATCAATTTGTAAGTATCTTAAAAATATTAATTAATTTGATATTCTGATGACCAACTCTATAATTAACCCAATTTTATTTGGAAAACCCAACAATATTAACATGGTTTAGTTCATTTTGAACGATCCATAAGCTGCATACCCAACACCGTCAACATCCACTATGCCGAAATCCTATGTGACTGCACCACCAGCTGGTTATCTGATGAGCAAAGAGGAGTCCCAGAAACCGGTTGCTTTCGAAACCAAGTCCAAAGGTAATGGATTCTGGAAGGGATGTTAAGTATTAAGTACCGTTTCTTCTACTCAAATAATCTTCTTTTCTTTCATTTATAATGGAGTATTCAAATTTACAAGTAAATAGTTATCAACCAGTAACTCAAGTCAGCTTACTTTGAACTCAAGAACCCAATAATGGTAAGGCCTTATTCCATAGGTTGAGAAGTTCTTTAACGCGTTTCATTAAACAAATTTTGTGCGACATCCGGATATGGAAGTTTAGCCAACCTACTTCTCTCATTTCCCAATTTTCAACTTCTACAAAGCACGAAGCTAAGGAAATGTTTATTTGATCCCCAAGGATTAAGGTCGGAAATCACATAAAAAACAATCTGTGTTCATCTCGACTGTTGTTAAATGAGATAGGAAGAAAGAAAGTGGAGGAACATTATGCAATCCCACATTAGTAGCAAATAAGCAGCTCGGGGTTGGTAACTTATATAAAAGAAGATGGGGGAGAATAGGTTTAAGCATCTTTGCACTTGAGGCAATGTCGAGCTTGAATCGAGCTTAGAATTGAGCTTGAATCGAGCTTGAATCGAGCTCAAGTCTCGAGTTTTAATCGAGCTCTTAATTGTTTTTTGAGTTAGAGCCTTTTCGAGTTCGAGTTCGAGTCGAGTTTCAATATTATATTTTGAGTTTGAGTCGAGCTTGATAATTTTAAGCTCGCGAGTTTTTGAGTCGAGTCGAGCTGACTTTGAAAGTTTTCGAGTTCGAGTCGAGCTCAGCAATACTCGAGCTCGACTTGACTCGTTTACACCCCTAGGTAGGGTCTCCAACGTTTATGTTCGTTTATGTTCGTGTTCATTTATGTTCGTGTTCGTTTATGTTCGTGCGCGTTTATGTTCGTTTATTTATTAAATGAACGAACATGAACAAGTTATATTCCTTAATAAACGAACATGAACAAAAAAAAATTTGTTCATTTATGTTCGTGTTCGTTTATGTTCATTTATTTTTTAAATAAACGAACATGAACATACCTCTGTTCGTGTGCGTTCGGTTCATTTACAGGCCTACTGATACACTAGGTCAACTAACGGTCGAAATATTTGAATTTTACACCGAGTGTACCGATACACCTACGCTCCCAACAGATTTTTTAAATGGTATTCACACCATAACGGCTATATTGACTTCACCAATGATCCCCAACGTTCAGAAGTGATCCAAGGTGTATATAAACAAGTTCTGAAGCCATTGATCAACAACAATTAAGAAGAAAAGCTAGAGAATCAAAGAGAAAGCATTAAACCTCAAGTTTGAGCATTTTCAAGCTTATTTCCATTCAATATTTATTTTGCTTTCAAGAACACCATTTGTACTCAATTGTATTCATTCTTGAGTGTTCTTTCTTTGTTATAGAATTGTGCAAACATCTTGCCTTGAGAGGTTTTTCTGTAAGTTTGTGGAATTTTTAATTTTCTCTTTGGGAGAGAGTGTTCTAAAAAATTTAGGGTATACTTCTTAAAGGAGTTGTAAGGTTACTCTTTGTCCTCAAAAGAAAGAAAAATTAGTGAATTTGTGGAAAATCCTTAGTGTGGATAGCTAAGGTAGTGGATGTAGACTTTGGTTGAGAAAGTCGAACCACTCTAAATCGTTGTGCAAATATTTTCAATTTTCTGCAAAAACTTCCACCAAAATTTTTATTGCCAATTCACCCCCTCTTGGCTATTTTGTCGATCGATTAACTCAACAATCGGTATTAGAGCTACACTCATTTGAAGGTTTAACCATCTCTTGAGTCGATTCTGGAAGAGTTATATCGATATTTAAGTCATAAATGGCCTCCACATCAAACTTCGACTTCGTTCTTGATTCTCAGCCTGTAAACAAGCCTCCTTTCTTCAATGGTGCTAATTATGCCTATTGAAAGAATAGGATGAGATACTTCATTCAAGCTAGTGACATGGGAGCATGGAAAATTATAGTGAACGGATACATCGAACCATCCACACATCAAAATTTGTGGAGTGAAGAAGAGACGAGAATGTTCCAGCTCAACTCAAAGGCTATTCATATTCTATTTTGTGCTCTTGGACTAGATGAATACGGGAGAGTTTCGTCTTGTACAACCTCTAAGGAAATATGGGATAAACTACAAGTCACTCATGAAAGCACAAACGAGGTAAAAAAATCTAAAATTAGTCTTCTAACTCATAGCTATGAAAATTTTAGGATGAAACCGGATGAAGACATCAAAGCTATGACGGATAGATTTTCCGTGATTGTAAATGGTCTCAAATCATATTGAGAGATCATTCCAAACGAGAAGATTGTGAGGAAGATAATTTATTCTCTTCCAAAAGCTTGGCAATCGAAGAAGACGATGATTATCAAGGCTAAAAACTTAAAGTCCTTAACCCTCGATGAGCTAATTGGTTCTTTCCTCACGCATGAAATGATGATTAAAGATGAGGTAGACCTCAAGAAGAAGGATAAGACAAAGAAGAAGACGGAGAAGAAGAAGAACGTTAGAGTTTCTCTCAAATCCAAAAAAGATGAGAGTGATTCTGATGATTATAAAATGACGAGGAAATAACATTTTTTGCCAAACGGTTCAAAAAACTAATGAAGCCCAACAGAGAAATAAAATTCAAACGAAATGAAGGCTTCAAGAATGAACCGAAGGAGAAGGATCCAATCATTTGCTACGAATGTAAAAAGCCTGGGGATGTCAAATACGATTGCCCGCAATTAAAGAAAAATGTTTAATCCAAGAAGAAGCACAAGACACACGTGGCTACTTGGAGCGATGATGATGAATCGTCAAATGAAGAGGAACAAGAAGTAGTAAACATGTGCTTGATGGTCATCGGGGAAGATTCTCAGGTAACCTTTAACTCATTTGATTTAGAAGATTATTCTTATGATGAGTTAGTATAGAAATATACTGGGTTGGCTTCGGATTATGAGAAATTATTTTCAAAATACAAGGAAGATATTTCAAAATTGAAAAACAAAAATAATCTCATATCCAAGACCAATAATGATCTTGAAAGTAAAATTAAAGAATTGCAAATCAAAATCGAAGATTTTGAAAAGAAAAATTCTGATTTGCATACTTTCAAGAGTTCATAATGATCATCAAAAAAGAAATTGGTGATCTTAAAGCTTCTTTTAATAAAGTTGGAACAAAACGTTTTGAAAATGGAGAAAGTTCAAAATCCAACTTTGTTAGAAAATGTTTTAAAAACTACAATCATAGAGGTCCCCAAAGAACCTCT